GGGGGGGGGGGGGGGGGGGGGGGAGGGGGGGTGTCATGCCCCCGGAGCAATTCCAGTGCCTCCGCCCCCCCCCCCGACAAATGTGTACAACAAAAAGAATATATATAATAAGGCTTTTAAACTTTCATTTTTATAACATTTAAAAAAAAAAAGTTTCTGGTGGCTTTAGCCGATTCCATTTTGGTGGAACCTATGAAGTAACACTAAGCTCGATATATTTGAAGAACAACGTATTAAAGGCTTACCTTGTTACTGGCTTACAGTATTCGATACATCATATTGTTTTGAAAATTGGCCGCATCTGATTATAAGCCGAAGTTTTACTTACTATTATTCCCATATATCGGTATAATTATTATTATTATTTTTTTTTTCAAATTCCCAAATTCAAAGATTTGACACCGCTCAGCGACGTGCTGGCACATGGAAACCCGTGACGAACGATGTGGTAAGAAAGGACCGGATTGTAGCGATTGATCCACCCAATTGTAGCGATTGATCCACCCAATTGTAGCGATTGATCCACCCAATTGTAGCGATTGATCCACCCAATTGTAGCGATTGATCCACCCAATTGTAGCGATTGATCCACCCAATTGTAGCGATTGATCCACCCAATTGTAGCGATTGATCCACCCAATTGTAGCGATTGATCCACCCAATTGTAGCGATTGATCCACCCAATTGTAGCGATTGATCCACCCAATTGTAGCGATTGATCCACCCAATTGTAGCGATTGATCCACCCAATTGTAGCGATTGATCCACCCAATTGTAGCGATTGATCCACCCAATTGTAGCGATTGATCCACCCAATTGTAGCGATTGATCCACCCAATTGTAGCGATTGATCCACCCAATTGTAGCGATTGATCCACCCAATTGTAGCGATTGATCCACCCAATTGTAGCGATTGATCCACCCAATTGTAGCGATTGATCCACCCAATTGTAGCGATTGATCCACCCAATTGTAGCGATTGATCCACCCAATTGTAGCGATTGATCCACCCAATTGTAGCGATTGATCCACCCAATTGTAGCGATTGATCCACCCAATTGTAGCGATTGATCCACCCAATTGTAGCGATTGATCCACCCAATTGTAGCGATTGATCCACCCAATTGTAGCGATTGATCCACCCAATTGTAGCGATTGATCCACCCAATTGTAGCGATTGATCCACCCAATTGTAGCGATTGATCCACCCAATTGTAGCGATTGATCCACCCAATTGTAGCGATTGATCCACCCAATTGTAGCGATTGATCCACCCAATTGTAGCGATTGATCCACCCAATTGTAGCGATTGATCCACCCAATTGTAGCGATTGATCCACCCAATTGTAGCGATTGATCCACCCAATTGTAGCGATTGATCCACCCAATTGTAGCGATTGATCCACCCAATTGTAGCGATTGATCCACCCAATTGTAGCGATTGATCCACCCAATTGTAGCGATTGATCCACCCAATTGTAGCGATTGATCCACCCAATTGTAGCGATTGATCCACCCAATTGTAGCGATTGATCCACCCAATTGTAGCGATTGATCCACCCAATTGTAGCGATTGATCCACCCAATTGTAGCGATTGATCAACCCAATTGTAGCGATTGATC